GTAAACTCAAGACTCATCAGCGATGTCGGAATACACCGTCCCTCGAAGCTCCCTCTTCATAGGCCCCTACAACGGCTCATTTCCACTGAGGGAATTCTCCCGTTGGGGGACTAGCATGAGAAAGCCCTGTAGTGTGCCATAACACCGTTCTCAGGGCGTCTGAGCCTTGCAAGAGCACCATTGCTGGGGCGTCAGCACTGCGAACCAACATAACTGTTGCGCCTTGACAGCCCTGCGTCGTTCCAAAACGCATGTCTGGTAATATAACGATGAAAACCAAAGAACCCCCTGCCATGTTTTAATTGAATGTGCGTAGCGCTAAGGCGAGAGCCACAGTTTGAACACCACCCGCTCTCAATCTGTGAAGCGCTTGCATCATTTTTGGGGACGAGTGCTCGCGATGCTCAGGCGAGAGCCACAGTTTGAAAACCACCCGCCCGCAATCCGTTAAACTCTTACAATGTGTTACAACGAGTGTGCGCGGCGTTAAGGCGAGAGCCACATTTTGAAAACCACGCGCCCTCAATCCGTGAAGCTACCGAAATTTGGTCAAACGAATGTGCGCGGCGCTATGGCGAGCGCCATATTTGCGCCTTCAATCCGTTGAGCTCTTGCATTTTGTTTAAACGAATATGCGCGGTGCTGAGGCGAAAACCACATTTTGAAAGCCACCCGCCCTCAATCCGTGAAGCTCTTGCAACTGTTTAAAACGAATGTGCGCGACGCTTGTGCGAGATCCACATTTTGAGAACCACCCGCCTTCCATTGGTAGAACCGTTGCCAGGTTTCCGCCAGGCGCGCGCGGACCAGAAGAATCGAACATTGCTGCTGGAGATTTGAGCACGCCTCTGGCGAGTTGGGCCGGCGAATTTGTATTCCGTCGCCCGCATGCGGGGCGGGCACACGTCTTGTAACGCTCGTCCATCCTTCAGCTCCCCATCCACGCCCTCCCCTGACTCTCTGATGGGCCTCTAGGGGTCTAGGTATTCTCGGATCGGCGGTTTCGAGTGAGGGAGAGAGAGAGGGAGAGAGAGAAAAAGAGAGAGGGAGAGAAAACAAAAAACAAAAAAAAACAAAAGAGAGAGAGAGAGAGAGAGAAACAAATAAACAAAAGAGAAAGAGAGAGAGAAAGAGAGAGAGAGAGAGAGAGACATTGAGAGAGAAAGTGGAAGCAGAGAGGCCCGCCGAGGTGAGGACCAGCAGCGCGCGGCAGAGGTGGCGCGCCGCAAGCTCCAGAGGCGCACCGCAGGAGACGGCGCCGCGCCCGCTCTTTCGCGGCCCAGGGATCCGCTCAGAACCACAAGAGGGAGGGTCCGCCTTGCGTGGAATTCTACTCCTCCTCCTTGCTCCTCCTCCTCCGCGTTCGATACCATCATCAGCATGATGATGATGATGATGATGATGATGATGATGATGATGATGATGATGATGATGATGATGATGATGATGATGATGATGATGATCATCATCATCATCACAATCACCAGCACCATCACCGTCAGCATCACCATCACCATCACCAGTTGGTGAGATCACGGGTCCCCCGGTTGGTGAGATCACGGGATTTTTAGTTGGTGACATTCGGATATTATGGCAGTGGTTGAGGAGTTGGAATATATTTAGAAACGATTGTGGCAGGCGAAGCGCCGACGCTACAACCCACCATGGGGCTGGCCGTCGGAAGTCACCACCATGCTACCGCCCAGCCAGTGCTCCCACTCTCAACGAGCAGGGTGGGAGAACCGCTGCTCCGAGTGTTCACCCGTGGGCCAAGCAGCTCGCGGATGACCTGTTGTGCCTGGCATCGGCCCCATCGGCGAGAGTTTCCAGGAGGTGTGGCAGCCGCCCGTTGTCAAACACCTGTGGGAAGATGAGTCTGTTCGGAGCACCTTCCAGTATTGCGCCGCTCGCGCACTCAGAGCCTCCTATTGAGCCTCACAGTGGGCACCACCTGGGACCAGCATGTTGGCCTCCCCCCTCCCCTCGACGACCTCGTGCGACGAGACGGACAGCGACAACGAAATCAATTGCCCGTTCGTATGTCAAATTCTCTCTTGTGGGCTACGGTTTGGGATTCTCGAACAGTTGGGTACGCGTCAGTCGAAATATCCGGGGGGCGGACGCGGTATGCCATCACTAGTCACAACATTGCAGGTCGACAACACATGTATCGTATACCAGACTACTTTCCCAAACCAAGATCATGCTACGCGACATCTACGACGTTCATGGATTGCTGGTCGGTGTGTAGCGGAGCTCACATATCATGTATATCCATGTCACCAGGCTACTTGTGCACTACAGTGCCCCCTTCATGAATGTGAACCCGATCCCGCCTGTCAGCGCGAATTGCAGGATGGTTCTAGGTATCGAGCCCATCTTATCGCGCATCTTCCGCCGTCGCTATCGGGGCCGATGCTCAGGCCGCCCGCCGGGCGAAGTCGGGCCCATCGCAGCTTCGAGCAGCCGCCCCGCTCGGACCTGCACCTCGGCCACCTCGCGCGATCGAGGACGCCCCGGCAGCTAGAGCACCCCTCCGCCGAGCAGCGGACCTCATATTGGGCGCGTGCGAAGCTCTTCGACATCGGCCACGCGTTGCTCGGCCGCCACGTCGGGCGGCAGCAGCCCCGGCAGCGACTCCAACAGCGGCGCCATCCTTCACCGCAGCGTCGACGCCCACGCTGCCAGTGCTACGGCGCGAGCACGATGGCGGCAGCAGCGGCGCTACCAGGGGGGGGCTCCGCCGCCAAGGCCGCGCAGCCAGTAGCCGAGCCGAAACGCGCGAACTGGCGCCTCCCACTGGACTCCTCCAAGGGCTCCAAGGCATCTGGCGCCGCCTCCAGGAGCGACGAGGGGCCCCCCCCACGGCCAAGCCCCGCCCCCAGGAGCCGCCGACGAAGCCAGGTCAGTCACCGGGAGCGCCAATCGACGCGGCGACCGAGGTCGACGAGGATGAGCAGGCAGCCGAGGGCGACGCGCGCAGGAAGCGCAGGGGCGGCCGCGGGGCGAGGATGGGGGGCCCACAGCGACGAGGTCTGGAGCAGCAATGGCAAGGACCTGATGGCCTTGCTTCGCACTGCGCTCAAGCTGCTGCTCCAGACCGCACACAGGACGCGCCTCAACAGCAGCATCAACATCGGCGCGTACACGATGACGACGAAACGCCCACTCGCGGGCGGGATCTCCGCCGAGCTGGGGGGCTACAAGAACATGCTCGACACGCTCCGCGGCGGAGACGCGGAGGACAAGCAGGCGCTGAAGGAGATAGGGCCCCCAGCTCCAGCATTGGGGCTCGCCGCGCTGAAGAGCCTCCTGAAGTGCGGCGCGGGCGGAGCACTCAAGCAGGATATCGGCGCCTATCTGGGGCAGGCCCAGCCGCCCGACGAGATGGCTGACGTCGAAGTCACGAAGTGCGAACTGCAGCAGCAGGTCAGCATCACGCGGCTCGAGCGATACTTCGACGCGGACCAGGCCGAGCTGATCGCGGGGGCCCCAGAGTGGCCAGGCCGCAAGCTAACCATGAAGGCGCTGGCCGCCGAGGGCGCGGCACAGCACCGCCGCGGGGTGGCGCCGGCGGGGTGGCTCGAGGAAGGGGCGGCGCGCTGGCTGGAGACACCCGAGCAATCGTTTTTGTCAGGGGGCCCCCGCTCCCTGCCAGCCGCCACGGCGTGCAGGTGCAGCGCCGGCGCCCGCCCTCAGAAGACTCAGAGCAGGAGCGCGCCGCAGGGCGCGCGCCGCCAGTCTCGCGAGACTCAGAGCGGTCGCCGCCGGTCTCAGCAGCTGCCGACGCGGGGTCGGCAGGACGCGCGCAGCCGGTCTCGGAAGATTCAGAGCTGGAGCATGCCGGAGGGCGCGCGCCGCCAGTCCTAGAAGACTCAAAGCTGGAGCCTGCCACAGGGCGCGCGCCGCCAGTCTCAGCAGTTTCTGTCTTCATTTCTGGGCTAGCCGACTCGAGGGTGGCAAGGCGCGCGCCGCCTCTCTCAGCAGACTCAGAGCAGGAGCGCGCCGCAGGGCGTGCGCCGCCAGTCCGAGAGGACTCAGTGCTGGGACATGCCGTAGAGCGTGCGCGGCCAGTCATAGTTTGTTTTATGTCTTCTTGTCTGGGCAAGCAGACTCGGGGTCGGCAGGGCTGGCGTAGCCGAATTCTGCCGACTCGGGGCCAGCCCGCCTCGAAAGGCCCGAGGGCCCACGCGATCAGCTCGATGCAGCAGCAGGAGGCGCGGCCGCGGCGTTTCTGTTTGACGCATAAATGCCCCCTCGAAGCGCCTCGCGGCAGCGCGACGCGGCCCCCCTGTGCAAGCGCCCGCGAGACGTGGCCCCAAGAGCGGGGGCCCACGAGAGATTCGGCTCTCTGCGGCGGACCATTTTTTCTTCAACGGCGTGCTGGCTCGCTCGGCCCTGATGCCGACTTTGAAAAATCACCGTCGCCATCGCCATCATCGTCGCCACCGTCATCGACATGGCCATCGGCATCGTCGTCATCATCGCCATCACCAAGTTTATAATCATCATCGTCCTCATTATCGCCATCACCATCATCATTACCAGCGCCATCACCATCACGGTCGCCATCATCACCGCCGCCATCATCAACATCACCATCATCGTCACCGTTCTCATCATCGCCACGCGCAGCATCATCATCATCATCGTCATCGCCATCGCCCTCGTTGCAACCTTCGCCGTCATCACCATCGCCATCGTCGTCACAATTTCCATGACCATCGCGATACCCCGAACGACCAGCATCACACACACACACACACACTCTAATCCTAATTGGCCCCACCATGATCATGAGCATCATCATCAGCATCCGTACCCCCGTCGCCATCACCATCATGAACAACATCATCGCCATCATCACCACCCATCGCCATTCCAATCTCTGGTATCGCCAGCATGACCAGCACCATCATCTTCGTCATCATCATATCAACGTCATCAGCATCGTCGTGGTCTTCAGCAGCACCATCACCAGCACCATGATCATCACCACCACTACCATCAACATCGCCATCTTCATTGTCATCATGCACATCATTATCACCAGAATCGTCATTACCATCATTGTGATCACCACCACCATCATCACTGTCACTATCTCCATCATCATCACTACTGCCATCACCATGGGGCCCGCCATTATCACAACAGCCACCGTGAACCACATCGTCATACTCATCGTTATCGTCACCATCATCGTCATGCAAGTCACCATCACCATTACCATCATCAGCACACTCACTATCACCACCCCCGTCACCATCACCATCGCCACCATCATCACCACCAGCACAACATCGTCATCGCAATCGTCCTCGTCATCGTCATTTCCATGAGGCTCGTGATCGCAATCGTCGTCATCAGCATCACCCTCATCGCCGTCGCCACCGGAAGCATCATCGCTGTCATCATCACCATCGCCATCGCCAGCATCATCGTCAGCATCACCACTGTCATCGGCAGCGTCGTCATCATCACCGCCATCGCCATTGTCATTTTCATCATACTTGCCATCGCCATCACCATCATCATCGTCATCACCACCATCATCATCACCATTGTTACCCGCATCGCCGCAATTGTCATCGTCATCGTTATCATCATGGCCATCAGCATCATCCTCATCAGCGTCTTAATAATTATGGCCATCATCACACCCACCACCACCATTACCATCGCCATCGCCAAACGCACCACCATCATCATCATTATCATCATCATGATCGGCATCGCCATTGTCATCATCATCTGCACCATGGGCATCATCACCATCATTGTCATCACCATCATCATCGCCATCGCCATCATCGCCATCACCACTATATTCGTCGTCAATCATCGCCATCGTCATCCTCATCATCATGGTCACCACCATCACCACCATCATCCGAGAGGACCCTCAGTCTCGGCAGCCCCTGTGGCTAGATTAGCTGGATCCGCCCGTGCGCTAGAAAGTTTTACACTAAGCCCTGGTCAAGTGCGCGTCCGTCCTCTCGCGCCTCTGCGCGGGGATTGTGGCGCGTCAGGATGGCACCGCGCACATCCGCGCTGCTGAAGAAGATGAGCGCGTGCCCACTTTCCCAGAAGGTGAGCCCCTTGCCTTCCTTCCGCAAGCTGACCTCGGTGCGCGACCCGCTCAGCCTGCAGGGGGTTGCGGCGAAGCTGCAATGCGCTCAGACGCAGCGCAAACAACAATGCATCCAGCCAAAGGGCGTGCCACCAGCCAGCTCGATCCGACGCCGACAGGACCTGCAAGCAGGAGGGCAACGGGCGCTTCGACAGGCGGTCAGCTGCTTGGAACAAGCAGCGCCTCTCGCTGAAGCTCAACTTCCAGCTATCGACATGGCGCGCCTGGCTGACCAGGGTCGGAAGCCCAGCCCGGGCCATTTCATTATTGGAGCTCCAGACAGCGCCCAGCTCGCCGAAATCCACCGATGTACCGCGCGATGGATCGAAGATGCCCGAGTTCAGCCTCAACAAGTCCAGCTCCTCGAGGACACCTGCCCCCGTCGCTCTTACCTGCGCGTGGTGGGAGGTCAGGGAGTTGCGCTGCCCAAGGCCCTGGCGCTTGTCAGAACCTCGGACTCCGAGCGAGGCAACTGAAGACGATTTATCGCGCAGAATGTCCACGGAGCGGACGCCCTGCGTCTGTTTCTGGAGACAATAGGCAATGCCAGCGCGGAAGAGGGGCTCGGACAAAGACGCTGGCATCCATGATGGAAGAATCGCTTCGGAACATGAATTCGAAGCGTTGCGCCGATTTGGATTTGCCCAACAGGGTGCGACGCCAGCGGTAGAGGTGGAGCCGCAGGGACTTCGTGAGCCATCCAAGCTCAAGTTGAACCCAGCGGAGGCGGCCCGTCTCCAGATCGAGGGAGCCGATCACATCCAGATTTGACGACTCGGCCTAGCTCTCGATCGACGCTCCCACGTGGCCACTTTCACAGCAGCTGGGCACTGCATGAGTTGTGGTCCGAGGGCGTGCCGCTACACGTAGTTTCATGGAAGGCTCGCGGGCTGGTTGTCGCAGCCCGCGCAGGGCGAAGCAGAAACTCAAGCAGCTAGAGGTCGCATGTCTGCTCGGCTGGTCGTCTCCATGCAGCAATGACACGGGTCGCAAGTGGAAATTGAGTCGCAAGTGAAAGTCTCGCGCAAGCGCCTGCGCGACGGGCCGGCGCCGAAGCCCGCGATCGGCCATCGGCGCTTAGTCGACATGCTTGCGCGCGCGCCCGACGGGGCCGCCCGGGGTCTTTTCGTCGCGGCTTTCGCGTTCGCTTTCAGAGTGCCGTCAGAGGGCCTCGGAGTCGAAAAGGGGGGCCCGCGCGTGGCCGCGCCCTTCTCCTTCTCTGACGACGATTGTCGCGCGCGCAAGGCACGCGCGGTACTATTCTTCGCCGGCGGGCGTGTCACCCTGCATTTGGGGTGCAATCACGTCGACCATGCCTCGCCCCTTGTGCGCAGCTGTTGGTGCGCGGCGCGCAAAACCATTCGCCCCGCGCACGACCTCGGTGCCATCTTCGACCGCGCGCCAGCGGGCACCGCGCCGTTTGCGCACCTGTCGAGCGGGTGCATTCTCGACTCGGCGCGGCGGCTCGCCCACGAGGCCGGCGAGCGCGTTTCCGCGCATTTTTGCACGAGGGCTTTCGGCGTGGCCACGCGGAGACCCTACGCCGCAGTGGTGGTAGGCTCGCTGAGATTCTCCTCGCGGGCCGCTGGCGCTCGGACGCGCGCCTCGATCATGTGGATCGAGAAGAGCTCGAGGGCGACGCCATGCTGCAGGAGCCGCAGGCAGCCGTGCACCTGCGCGCGTGCCGGGATAACTCTCGCGCGAGGGGAACGCGCGCGCCAGCGGTGGCTGGCTCGGCATTGGGTTTCGCGCCCCCCCCCCTGGCGGCTCCCCGGCTACCGTCGGCGTTGGGGCAATCGGCACCCGGGTGACCCTGCCAGGGGGTTGGCGCCGCGCCTTGGGCGGAGATTGCGCAGACCCACAGGCGCGGCCCGCCCCGCGGGGGCGCCGCGCCCAACGATGGGGTGCTGGCGGCCTCGCAGGGGCGGTCGCTACAAGAGCGCGCGCTGTGTTTGTGGTCGGCCCACGAACTCGCTTGCTTGGCAGGCGCAAACGCGCGCGCGCGCGCGCGATGGCGAAACAGGGGGCGCGGGGGCGTCGGCGGCCACGTCCGCCGACGAGCGCGACGCCACGCGGGGGCGGCCTGCGAGGCGGGGCCGCGCGCCGCGCCGCGCGGCGCTGCCAGCGCTGTTTGTTTGTTTGCTCGGCCGCCCGTGGGTTCCCGCGTCGCGGCGGCTCAGCTTCGCGCGCGCGACGAGCGCGCCGCGCAGGTTCTCTTTCCTTGCTACCAGCCATCGGCGCTGCCAGCTGGGGCGCGGCGTTTCCCCCGCCCTCGCGCGCCCCTGGGGGTGATCGGCGCCCGGGTGACCCTGCCAGGGGGCGGGCGCCGCGCCCTGGGCGGCGATTGCGCAGACCCGCGGGCGCGGCCCGCCCCGCGGGGGCGCCGCGCCCAACGATGGGGTGCTGGCGGCCTCGCAGGGGCGGTCGCTACAAGAGCGCGCGCTGCGTTTGTGCCGAGAGCCTTTCGTGGCTTCCACGAAGTGTTCCTTGAGCGCTTCTGGCTGGGATTGTCTTGTTTTGACACATCGGTTTGATGTTGTAAGCGCATCGGCTTTGCTCTTAGAACTTGTTGGGGCTCTAAGAACATGTCGTGGTAGGCCTATAGGACTAGGAATGCTTGGACGGTCGGTCCCTGCTCAATCCGCCCCCCCCACCGAGGGTGGACAAGTCGGAGGCGCGCAAAGGCGGAGGGCCAGTGTCCGAGAGCGCCTTGTGGCCTGCGCCGCTGGGGGGGGAG